ATTCCATCTTTTAGAAAAATCTGTAACAAAAATGTGTCAAAATACCGAATGTCGGGAGGTACCCGTTATATGGTGGCTGTACCAAAACGTGGACTGATATATCTCATTTTCAATACCAACCATCCTAGACATAATACAAATTTTTGTGCCAAATTTTGAAGCTCTGCGTCAAATAATGTGGGATGTCTCGTGATTTCAACAGGCAGACAGACGGACATATTTAAATCGAGTTAGAATTTTATGCTGATCATGGATATATACACTTAATGGGGTCTACGACAAATATTTAGGGTTATTACAAACGGAATGACCCTCCTTTTCAAGGTGGAGGGTATAAAAATAGAAAATCGACACAAGTGTATAAAATTGCAAAAATTTAAATAAGAATTCCATGAGATTATCTTTTTGGTTTGATTTTTCAGAAATCATTCGAAACTTAGACCAGGTGGATAAAAATTTCTATTTTCCAACAGATTCCAGCTCATAATACATGCACATGTATCATCTCCAGAGTAGCGTCATCCATACCCCCATCATCCATGTGATGTATTCATGTAGACGATTTGCCATGCCATGCCATAACAACATTAGTTGTGACGGAATGTTTCTGACATCAGGCAGGTGCTGCCGAGTCGATGGGGGCGTTCTCCAATTTAGATTTTTGCAACAATTTACTTAAATCAAGCTGTTGTTGCTGCTTTGGCCTGTCGTTTACTTTGGCAGGCAGGCAGTAGTCATTGTCGAACAAGGAAAACAGCAGCGGACAAAGAGTGTGATAAAAGATGGGGGGCACTGGGTTCAGGGTATACATACATAAAATTACAAATGTGCATGTTAACGAGCAGGGCTCACAGATTCTTTTCAACATTGACAACACATGCACAGGTGTTGTTGAATGGTTGCTGCTGTTGTTTAAATAATCGTTTTTGTTTTCATTTTAACATTTTAACGAGAAAGTGCAAAACAATCTAAACAACAAGAACAACAACATCAACTTTTTTTGCATTTACTTTGTGGTGGCATGTCAGTGGTGTTGGTCGGTTGGTTGGTTAAGTGACAACATTAATTATGCTGTTATTTCATTAAAGGCGTCCCACATTCATACGACTGGCATATCAAACATTATAAAGCTTAGAGGCTGCACTACCCGCCACAACATTTCTCTTCATGGGAAACAAAGTGGCAATGAAAGAACGATCTGCTCGTTCGCAGCGACACCTTGAATATTAGTCATTGGGCAGAGCACAGGTAAGGCCTGTCGCCCTCAATACAAAGAGTCCTAAGCATCGTAATGTTGATATCATCCTACAAACCAAATTGTAACATTTATAGGATTTCTGCCCCATTTGAGCAGTTTCATTCCAGTACAGCACTTTTTGAATCAATTCCAAAACAACATCACCTATCATCTAATTGCTCTCATAAATTGTTACATTAACGAAACAACATTAAATGTTGCAACTTAAATGCGACAACAACACGAAGTAAATAATGGAAACGAAACAACAATGTGCATGTCTCTTGGTCATACTTTATATCTGGCTTCTCTATTTTCTGTCCCCCTGAAAAAAACCCCATCGATTGCGTGTAAAATTGAAAATTACACCATTGATGTTGTTGTCGTTAAACCTCTCTACCCCTCACCCCTTTCACTTCTTTATGTTTGTTGTTATTTTTGTCATGAAAACAATTTAAACGGTCGACCAGACCAGCCGGCCACAGGTTACATTTAACACTAAATTTATTCATATTGTCTGTCTGTCGGATGGTTAGCTATGTGCTTTTGTTGTTTTTGGCTGGGTCCATTTGATTTCTATAATTCAGTTGTAGAAATGCTCAACATTGAAAACGAATTCCACAACATGACATGAAATTCATTCTCGCAACCGACCTGACTGACCATTCTATATGGACGAGAAACCACAGTATCGGTCAGCCGAAAAATTGCGAATGCATTTAATTTGGTACGGAAAAAAGTGCATCATCAAAATAACAACCTAGATCCCTAGAATGCATTTAATTTGGTACGGAAAAAAGTGCATCATCAAAATAACAACCTAGATCCCTGGATAAAATGAAGTAGACTTCGATAGATTTTGTCTGTGTGACCTCTCGTGGTCGAATTAAAGGACGGGTACGACTTCTGATACCTCATATGACATATAAGGCGAAAATGTTACCAAAAATAGTCGAAACTTGGTACACGGCAATTTTAATTTAATACTTAGTTCAGGTGTGAGAGTAAAAAAATTGCTTACTCCTATCGTACCTTCCGAAAAAGACCGCAATTTTTTATGAAAAATGAAAATGAAATATATCCGTTAAAATTAGAAAATGTTGAATTAATCCTTGATTCTGCCAAACGTCATACATACAAATGTTTCTACTAAATTTGAAGTGCGATAATAGAATCCTTAAAAAAATAAAAAAAATCATAAATTTGGTACAGACCTCAGAAAAACTTGCGGGAGTAATAAATAATAAAACGAGCAAAACTCTAACCTTCAGTTTCGCTCGAATAAGAGCGAGTATACTTTTTCATTTTAGAGTGGGAGCAAAATTCGTTCAAAAAGGAGCAGATTCAGCTTGCTCTTTCACTCTCCCCACCCTCTTATCTACAGAACACAGCAACATCAAATCACATAACAAAATATTCGAGAAATCCTGCTCGGGAGTAAGTCTCACTCCGAGTAAATCTGTGCTATGATCTTGTATAATGTAAATGAAGTCTTCGATCTGGTGCACTTTTGTTTGTCTTAATATTTTTGTCAAACCTAAGTGGTAAGGTCTTCAAAATTCTACAAAGTCCCAAATTTTTGGCCAGGAAATCCGGAAATAAAAATAACTCTGGAAGGGAGTATCCGATTTGATCCAAACTTGGTACATCGTAATTTTATTATCAAGTTCGGAGATGGGTAATATCGGTCCACTCCTCCTGGTACCTCACCCACAAAGGTTCAAAATTTTGAGTATCCATGAAGCTCTTAAAATTGGAAATTTACATCCGATTCCATTCAGACTTGATACATCTCAATATTTCCATCAACACAAGATCTTTTATAAAGATGGTAGAGATTGGACGGCTTCTTCTGGTACCTCCCCTACATAGCCTTCAAGATTTTGAAATACAAAACGCTCAAAGAAAGCGAAATAAGCAACCAACTCTCTTCAAATTTCATATATATTTTTGCTAATGCAGGAGCTGTTGTGAAGATGATATATATCTGCGAACCCCTTCAGGTACCTCACCCACAAAGAGTCACAATCTGTTATAACTTGCGAAATAAGTCGGCGATTCTTTACAACTTGCTATATCTAAATATTTCTCTTAACCGGAAATCTGATATAAAATTTTTATTTATTCGCAAAAAATTGGATATAAATGTTAAATTTCCTTCAAATTTTGAACATACCAATATTTTTATCTGTATTAGATGGAGTGTGAAAATGGAATACTTCGACCGCTATATCTGTTTTTCCACATTTTTAAAAAAAATTGCACATATCTCATATATAAGTTTATGAAGTAAAAGTATATCAGTCTTTAGTCAAATACGAATTGGTCAATAATGACCAACTGCTTCGGAACCTCCCCTTATAAAGGGTCCACAGTTTGAAAACCGACTGATACTATTTTAATTGTTAGAATTTTGTTTAGCATTTTCTAGTAAAATTCGGAATTTTTTGTCCTTAAAACACCAAGAAAAAAATCAAAATTTCAAGCAAAATCTTTTTAGCTTTTGCCAGAAAATGTATTCTGTACAAGCATTTATGAAATTAATAAAACTAGGTTTCAAATTAAGTAGCCAACTTGCTCTTTCATTTTCACTGAAAATCCTCAAAAAACCATAGCCGTTTTTGGCACTTACTTTCTTCATTTTTTTGTTTAAAAATTAATTTTCGGGATACTGTCGTTTTTTTTTTTTTTTTTTTTTGCGCCAACAATAATTAACTTCTTCCTCCTCTTCTCCAAACACACTCACACAGACTCTGCACTTAACGCAATACGAATCCATACTACATAGAAATATCCATTTCCATTACCGATCTGCTGACTATTATTAAAAAGCTTAATTGTTTGGAAGATATTCCCGTTAAATGTTATTTTGTCTCGTTCTCGGTGTGTGTGTCTGCCAGGACGCTGCTTTTATTTTATGCAATTATTTCTGTTGTTATCTTTCCGGTCATTAGGCACGATACTCCATTTAAAAGTTGATGATGAATGGTCTCAAGGGTAATGGGTGACAATTTGCAGTTCAGTTGCTGTTGATATTTATTATCAATTTGTTGGTGGTAGCCAGCCCATATACGAAAATGATATCTACGGAAGTTGAGTGTCAGTTGCTGATTTAATAATAAAATAATATGAGATAAACTTTTATCCACAAGGTAATTGAAAATGTTAGTTTACAGATACTGAGGACACAAAGTTCTTAGCAGCAATCTTTGTTGAAAATTTAAAAGTTGTCTCCAGAAGTCAAGGTTCGCCCCAATATAATACAAGGATATCGAAATTAATGTTATCGCACTGAACTTAAAATTGTCGCCTTTATAGAGAGTTATTCCATCACTGCCTTCAAATATCAATTAAAACCATTCAAACTCATGTAAAAAAAAAAGCCCTCTGAGAGGAAATTTTCAATCCATTCAGTTATGACTAACTAATCTCAACCAAAAAAAGTTGCCTTCTTAAGGGAAATAACATATTTGATCCTATTTGTAGGAATTTTCTATCAGGTACTACTGTTTTTAATGTAATTTTGTTTCCTACAGTTGGTATCCTTTTTATAAAAAAAGCGATTTAAATTCCAACTTTCTGCAGCCACCAATAATCCAACGATTTTTTTTTTTTTTGTAAGAAATCTTTGGAATAGTTCATGTTCTTTTTACTGGATATTCATTTAAAATCTCTTTTTATTCGATGCGAATAAATTGGACAAAACAAAATCCAAATTATATTTAATGATTTCTTATCCTTTTTTCATTATTTTCTCATTTAGATTGTATTGCAAATCGACGACATCTAAAGATGCGACGGCGGTAGCTGACCAACAACGAACACCAGCACCAGCAAAAGAACCAACAAGCCACAGCAAGAATCCGACATAATCGTCGTAACAAAAGAAAATACAAAACAAACCGACAGTTGTTGAATTTTTTTTTTTGCTGGCAAGGACGGCGGAGATCATGGTGGACATTGATATGGCTGACAAGCAGTTAAATTAGTTTTAAGATTGACACAGACACAGCCCTTTTGTGCTGCAGCTGCTGTGGCTGCCAGCGAACCACAAAATACTGAGGGCTCAACAAAGAAACAACTGCAAACAACACACACACACTCACAATTATATATTCTGAATCATATATATATATAAAAAGACAACGAAATCGTAATTTTACGACGGCTACGAATCTCAGAGCAAGAAAAACAGAACCTACAACAATCCCCCCTGGGAAAGGAGCTGAAATTGAATCCTTTTTTTAAATTAGAGCTTGACGACGCTGGTCGGTTATCCATCGATCTGTTAGCAGCGAAAAACGACCACCACAACCACCAGCAACAAATTCGCCATGACTGTTAAGATTTTTAGACGTGGCTCCGCACGTTGTATTGGCTTGTTATCGGCTTTTATAACAATTCTGCTATGCCTCTACTACATTTCCATGGGACAGCCCTCAAACATACAGCCCAAAGAGCCGATTGCCAGTTTGTTTGTCGGCAGTTCTGGCGGCAGTGGGGCGTCAGCGGTTGGGCCAGGCAACAATCTGGTGGCAGAAAATGGTGCCGACAATACTGTGCCCCAACAACTACGAATTTATGGCAGTAAAGTAAGACACGGCAACAATGAAGATGAGCATGCCCCACCAACGGCATTGAGGCAACATCAATTGATGGCAAAATCTGCAGTCAATGGACCACGACAGAATACGGTCGGTGGTGATGCAGTGGATTACGGCGCTGCAGCAGCTGGTAGCATTGGCGTTGATGGTTCCTTTGGCAGCGCCAATATGTATGTCAATAATCCTCAATGGGGCGATAAATGTTATATTTTAGAGGAGAGCGATACCAACATAACAGCACAAGATGAATATGCTAAATTTGATTTTCAGGTAAGAAATGAAAGAAAAAAGAATAGGAGATGAATTGTAATAAACAATTTTATTGTAACCTAAATCAGAAGGTATTATGTATTTCGGTTGCTTCAAAGATGTGTAATGAATAAATTGTTGTAGCCGATTTAATAGAGAAGTACAGATCAAATAATCTTATATTTTATATATATCTTTATATAATCTTATATTTTTATATAAACTAAACAATTTTTATAAGGGTAGATTCGTTAGATGATTATTTAGATAACACTGTTTCACAATCAACATATTATTTTATTATCAGAAGCTGACAATCTCCGGACTATATTTTACTCGGCCATATTTCTTAATAAAAAGTAGTAACGGATATATTTGGGCACTGTAGTCGATTGTTACAGGTTTTAGAACAGGGCTATAGAAAATAGTTAGGGGTTTTTTAAATTTCTGGCTATTATTGAAACTCTATCATCTTTCTTTCCTGAAACATAATGTTGGACATCCGATAATGGCATATGTGCCCACAATCTTCTTTATTAGCATTAATATGGCATATTTAAACTATCGTTTGCTTACTCTTATTATTTACATAATTTATCCGATTTCAATATCTTTTTAGCCTGAATGGGTGCGTACCAAAGAATATTGGGATCGTGGATTTGAAGAACGTTTTGAGGCTCAGAAGAAAGACAAACAAAGACCACCATTAAAGGTAAGTATCATGATAATATTGCAACATAGTGGATACTAAATATCTATATTTTCTTTTTTTCTATCAGGTTATTGTCGTTCCCCATTCGCACAACGATCCTGGCTGGCTAAAGACCTTTCTCAATTACTTCCAAAGTGATTCGAGACAGATTCTAAATCTAATGGTCACAAAAATGCAAGAGTACACCGATATGACTTTCATATGGTCAGAAATAAGTTTTCTCCAATTGTGGTGGGATCAAGCCCATCCCACAAAGCAAAGGGCGCTGAAAAGACTCATTAATTCGGGACGACTAGAAATAACAACTGGCGGTTGGGTGATGACCGATGAGGCTAATGTTCATCTCTATGCCATGTTAGATCAATTGATTGAAGGCCATCAGTGGCTAAAGAATAATTTAAATGTCACTCCCACCGTGGGCTGGTCCATTGATCCATTTGGCCATGGCAGTACAGTACCTTATTTACTATCCGGCAGCAATTTCGAGGGAGCAATTATACAACGTATTCATTATGCATGGAAACAATGGTTTGCAAGACATCAGAAGGGAGATTTTATGTGGACACCCTACTGGAACTCACATGGTGGTGCAACAGATAAGCAACATCGCAAGGGTAGTCTTCTTACCCATAATATGCCTTTTGATATCTACTCCATCAAAGGTTCGTGTGGACCTCATCCTTTCATATGTTTAAATTTCGATTTTCGTAAAATTCCTGGTGAATACACCGAATATTCAATTAAAGCTCAGTTTATAACCGACGAAAATGTTGAGGAAAAGGCTCAGCTGCTGTTGGAACAGTATTCACGTACTGCTTCGCTCTTTCCACACAACGTGGCGCTGATACCAGTGGGTGATGATTTTCGCTATAATAAAGAGCGCGAAGTTGATCAACAGTATACAAACTATAAAAAGCTCATAGACCATATTATGGCCAATAAAAGACTCTACAACGTCGACATCTCGTTTGGAACACCAAAGGACTATTTCAATGAGATCAAGAAGAGGACGGCTGAATTCCCCACATTCAAGGGAGATTTCTTTGTATACTCTGACATTTTTTCTGAGGGAAGACCAGCATATTGGTCTGGATACTTTACGACACGGCCTTCATACAAAATTCTAAGTGCAGATTTGGAACAAAATCTTCGTGCAGGCGAAATACTCTTCACATTGGCCTACAACACAGCTCGCCAGAGGCATCATGAGAATGCCATTAAGATATTCGAAAAGAACTATGAGAAAATGATTCACGCTAGACGCAATCTAGGTCTGTTCCAGCATCACGATGCCATAACTGGAACTTCAAAGGCTGCTGTTATGCGCGACTATGGTATGCGTTTGTTTGAAAGTATTCAAGACGTAGTTCGTATGCAACAATCAGCCATCGAACTGCTAATACAAAATGGCACTGAGAGACATAATTTCCTACTCAGCGAATTGGAGAGGGATAACTTTAGTAAACTGCCACGAAAGACACCCATTCCATTGGCCACATCTTCTCCCAACAGTGATTTCTCCATTGAGTTTACATCGTCTTCGGCTGATGGCAAGTCTGCTAATTTTGTGGTATTCAATTCATTGACCCATAAACGTGTAGAGGCTCTAACAATTCGAACCACCACACCCTATGTAAAAATTCTTAACGATGCCGGTCAGGAACTGAGGAATGTACAAATAAATCCTGTTTGGAATATCAGTGATCCCTATGAGTTGGGCATGAATATGATGGGATCAGCGACAACGGCTCGCATACGCATTTCGAAACGCCAATATGAAGTAATGTTCTTAGCTGAATTGGATCCATTATCATTGACCTCGTACACGGTCGCAGTAGATGAGGTTAATGCCAAACGTTTGATGTCAACAATCTATTGTGATGAGTGCACAGATCAACTGGATGGAAGTACTACCGAAACGCCAATTGTCAAGGAGGAGTTTGTTGTAAAATCCAAACCACCAGGTGAGTAACTTAAAGAATGCAAATTGTTTCTGTGAAATTGAAATATTTGTAAAGATCAATAGCTTTATAAAAAATTGAGTATCAAACACTTACTAATTCCTTGTTCTTTTTTCAGGCGACATCCAATTGGAAAATAATTTCATGCGCTTATTGTTTGATGAGAAGACCGGGTTTTTGAAGACAAACACTCGTAAAGGCCTTAATCAACAGCTATTAAATCCAATGCAATGCGCCATTAAATTTGCCGCCTATCGCAGTGCTCAATTCCATTCCGGAGCCTATCTGTTTAAAACTGATCCTGAGCAGAGTGAGGCAGAGAAAGATGTTTTAGAGCAATATGAAGACAAGCGTATTATTATAACATCGGGATTGATTGCCAGTGATGTAACCGTAATATATGGACCATTTTTGGCTCATACAGTTCGAATTTTCAATACAAAAACACATTTGGATGCAGCAATCTATTTTGAAAATGATATAGATTTTGAACCACCGCCAAAGAATCGTGAAACCGAGCTGTTTATGCGTTTTATAACGGATATTGATAATATTGCTCCTGTTAATAAGGACACATTAAAAGACGGCGATACCATTCCGGAGTTGCCAGAATTTTTCACTGATCAAAATGGTTTTCAATTTCATAGGTGAGTTTAGAGTTAGGGAGAGAAAACCCAAAGAATTGTTTGTAATTATTTTACATTTTTTATCCTTCCAGACGCGTTAAGGTGCCTTCTATTGGCATTGAGGGCAATTATTTCCCCATTACAACGGCAGCCTTTATGCAAGATGATAAAGTACGATTTTCATTACTTACCACCCATGCTCAGGGTGCTGCCAGTTATGAACCGGGTCAACTGGAGGTAATGCTGGACCGCCGTACTCTGTATGATGATTATCGTGGCATGGGTGAAGGTATTGTAGACAGTCGTCTAACGCGTCACAAATTCTGGGTTGTCATAGAAGATATGCCTGTGGTAACAAAACCCAAAAAGTATCAAGTACCCAGCCTCCTGACAAACTATTTAGCCAATGGTTTGCGTTATCCACCCACCATTTACTTTGTGGAGAATTTTGAAAATCCACCTCAGCTAAAGAATAAAGCTTTGCTCTTGGACAATGGCGCCTGGCCTTGTGATGTACATTTGATCAATTTCCGTACCCTATCCGAGGAACAATTGCAGCTATTTCCCTCATCGTCAGCTTTAGTGGTATTACAACGGCAGGGTTTCGATTGTTCAGTAAACAACAGACAAGATATCGACCTACTTGTCGGTGTGTGTCCCTTCCAACATCAAGGCCTGGGAAATGTTAATTTCAATAAATTGCATTTAAGCTCTTTGGAAACCACCAGTTTAACTGGCATATTGCCAGGACATAGACGTAAGCAATTGAAGAGTTTCAATGACATCATCATAGAACCAATGGAGTTATTAACATTCAATGTCACATTTAAGACTTAGAACTAAGAGTAATATCCAAAAAAAGTAATGAAAAGAATCAGTATGTAAGCACTTAGTTTAAGCTGTTTATTTATTTAGTTTTTATTTCCAAGAATCTCAAACAACCAATCACACACACACACACACCACGACACATACAAATGACTGATTTTTTGCTTTAATTTTTAATTATCTACCTACCTAGCACTTTTACCAAATGACTGAATTTCTTAAAGAATATAACATTTTTACAGAACTTCTTCTATTTTTCACACGAACTATGTTTACAAATGGAGTAAATTTGTTCAATACTATTTGGTTAAATATGCACGGAATGCATGGTTCCATCCTTTGACTCTTGTCCAACCATTCCAAATAAACTTTTTGTTTAACGACTCGCAATAGCTTTCACATGACAACAACAGTCAGTTTTCCAATGGAACACACTGTTTGCTGGTAGAGTGTTCTTTTCAATATGCATATGCATAGTTTTCTTTTATAGACATCATACCTCTTTAATTTTTATTTTTGTTTCTATACAAAGCAAATAGTACACATTATTTTTTTAAATTGATTTTATTCGAATAAAATAGGCTATAGTTTAAAATGTAGGTCAGTAATAGTTCAAATATTTTTATAGCAGAAGTATCAATGAAATTTCACTTAAATTGTAAATTGTGTGTTATTTCCAATGGAATCGAATGGAGTCGAATACTGAATTTGACTAATATTGTATTTTGTTCTAGATATAATCAAAGAAGTGCAATATATGCCAACACGTCCTCTTTTTGTCCTTCATCATTATATAGAAACTAGATTCAGATGGTATTTATTTAAGGAAAAAAATGTATATTTACAATGTAACAAAAACATAACCGTAACTCATACACACACAGAGTACATTTTATATATGTATGTATGTACCTTTTCTCTTGAACCAGACCAGATTTTACGATAAATCGTTAGAAAACAAAATATAAATCTTTTTAATTGAAGTACTTTTCATATTATTATAATAATTATTATTATTGAAACTCTTTAAATAAAGGTTTATTTTTCTCAGGCATTATTTAACAAAACAAAAACATTGTCACATAAGAAGAAACCCTAATTAAAATGCGAAAGAAAAGAAACATTTTATAATATGGCATTACACAAACGAATTATCCTAGATCCATAGTGGTTTTATACATCCAGAACACATTATTCACGCATCACTGTAAATTTGTAGTTTTTTTTTTATTGTTTTTTAGAAAAGGAAAATAATATTGTATGGAATGAAAATGTTGACACTAAAAATGGCAATAAAGTATTGGACATTGGTAATTTAAAAACGTTTGTTTTCTAAGTCTTTAATATAAAAACATTTCTAAAAAAAGTAGAAGAGATCAATATAATTATAATGGGACATTTGTCCTTGAAGAAATTGTACTTCAACAAGGAGTCTAAATTGTTCCTTGGCCTTGAAAAAGTGCTCAAAATTGCCAATGGCCTATTCAATGATATGAGTCCCACAAAAATTATTATTTTATATAAAATTGCCTAAAAAGTAACTAATATGGTCCGTACTAAGTATTGTCATGGATGTTTGTTAACAAACTTCGTTTTTTCCTTATAATTATTTTTCTAGAACAAATATTTTAAACCAAAATTTATACAAAAATATTTATTTAATGACTGATTATTGTATATGTAGCATATGTATATTTTTTAAATATATTTATTAATTAGTTATGCCTAATTTGATTAAGTAACAAATGTAACACTTGCCTTTTTTAGCAAAAAATTAAAAAACAAAAAAAATAATCAAACCGAATTTCTTTTTTCTCAAATCAATTAGTGGAAATTGAAATTTTTGAAATTGCCAGTAGGGAAATTGTTTATGTTGCAAATGCTTTAGTTAATTTTATTTAAGGCGGTATACACAATTAGACGAAGAATTGATATAAAACTCAATACATTAAATTTGCACGTCATTTTTGAAACGAAAAAATAAAAACAAAAACACCACAAAACAACCAAATTGTAAATATCGTAAAAAACTTCTATCGCAAAAATATCTTGAAAAGAAACGACAACAACGTTTTTATATTTAACGCCACAAATCGTAATGGAAAAAACCCTTGAAAGTATTTAAATACCATAGTTACTAATTAAATAAAGCCTCGACTAAAATATATAAAGAAGTATATAATGAACAAAGTTTATCAGAATAAAAAATATTATTAAAAAGAAAAACACCGACACAAAAAAGTGTTTACATGAAAACAGAAATACAACACCATAGCTCGTAAACCCTACATACTACGATACAAAAATCTATATACTAATGGATATTTTTAAAATTAAGTTTTAGGTACATTTTAAACATACTTTACATTGATGATACTTACAAAAAGAAATAAATAACAGGTAATGCGAAACCAGAAAACGAAATTTAAAATAAATTGTATTCTTCAAAAAGAAATTAAATGTGTTTTCCTATTTTGCTTTGCTGGTAAGAGATATATAACTAACTTCAATATAAATTACATGTTTGAAAGGGGTTTTTCTTCAGTTCGTTTCCGACCGTGGACCCACACGACGTGAAAAATCTTATTATATTTATTGTTGTTTATATGTAACACTAGTACTAGAAGACATACAAAATTGCATCCGATTTGACGTAGTTCCATCCATGGTGCTGCAAAATATAAGCATTAAACTTAATATGGAAATATTTCAACAACTTTATTTTTATACCACGATAAAAGAAAAACTAAATTAATTAAAATTAAATATACTTATTTTCAAGTAAATATCAATTGTATGTGGGAATCTCGTACTCAATCTGACATAAATTCATACATATTGGGTCCTTTCTTCAATAGAATCCCTTGTATATTTAAAATATCGACTATGTTTGTAACACCACACGAAATGCCAACACGTCTGGCCATATCTTTCAGTTCATCAAATTCGAAAATTCGTCTTGACACAGCACCCGAACGCATCTGTAAAATTTGATGGAATTTTCGTACGTTTGCCTGGGTTCCGTTGCCTCTTTGACTGGTCTTTGACATTACCGCTGTGGTTGGATTTGTGTCAATATAATCTCCCAATGCCATATCGTTATTGCTCTGCTTGACAATGCAGACAACATCACGAACGTGTAGCGGTGTGACTTCGCTTGAAAAATCTATGCGGGCCCGAGCCTGACACAAACGTATAAGACCAGCTAAATGACTGGAATTGGAAGAAAAACGAGAGGTGCATTAAACAACAACTGACTTAAATCTATGTAGAGGTTGATTTTTTAAAGAGTTAAGGGAAAGTTAGAAGTACTTAAAATTTAGAAAAATGCATGAAATCGGTCCATATAATCTAATGTCTGAAGATTGTTTCATGCAAATGTTGTCCGCAAATGCTTCTCAAATGATCCATCAACTTAGTTACATTTTGGCATACTATTTCAAGAATAAAGAATAAAAGCTTCAATGTTATTTTCCAATGCGTCGTCTGCATAAACATAAGCTTTAATATAGCCCCTCAATAGTCTAAAGACGATAAAATTTACGATATAGAGGCCAATTGACTGGTTCCTAAATTCCTAAACTCGCTTGAAACTGTTGAAACCACATGTCTAGCAAGTCGAGCATTTTGTGCAAAAAAGTTGTGTCAAGTTAAAAGTAGTAGTAGATACCTTTTGTTGCATACATGTGAAAATATACGATTACATGCAACCCGGATACAACCCTGAATTTTTAAAATGTAAAAGAGTTGTAGATACGAAGCCAACCTGACAAGGCGTACTAGTTTAAGCTCGTATAATTGATTTTAATAAACGTTTGTGAATTCTTAATTTAATATAAAAACGGTCGTTGTATTTCATTTGAGTATACGGAAACCAACAGACTTCAATCGATCACTTGACATTTTTCTCAGAAGTGGGATACGACAAGTCTTATTGGAAGAAGCGTCTACCAACAAGAAATATGGAGAATTTGCACAAATGCACGGTTAAGCAGTTGCAAGCGAAATGCAGAGAAATTGGTGTTTCTCAAAGTGGTAACAAAAAGCAATTGATCGAACGACTTGAAGTCAACAACGAAAGCGAGCTGCACGGATTCGCATCTCCTCATGATATGCAGGAGCGAATTTCGCATTTGGAAGATATGGTAACTGAATTGCGTTCATCTATGGAGCAACGTGGACAATCAGAATTTGAGCCGAACAACGCATCATCCCCTTTGAACACGTTTTCGACACCGGATGGTAATATGTCCCTGCAAGGCACACGGCCTAGCTTGCCAAACGTGGCAAACGTTGTGACAATATTACCGGAATCACGTTCGATTCCATCGTATGTTCAAACGAATACTTCTTTTGGTGCATTTCAGACTACGTCAACAATTCCAACGGTCCACACGTGTGCTTCTGCTGGTTTACCAACGTTTACACCTTCATTGCACGGACATGCTCAACTTCCACGAAATACAACGCAAAATGTAGCGACGTCATGCTACAACGTACCAACACATATAACGACACATTCGAATTTTACAACAGCAACACCGACAGGAGTGTTCACGCAGCCGAACAATGGATATGTTCAATCAACGCAGCCCTACAACGCATATCTACAACCGCCGATATTTGCAACAAGTGTCTATTCAGCGCCGCCGCAGTCAGAAATAGTTATGCAGCCTTCACAACGTTATGTTCAGCACAACCCCTTTGGGAACGTTAAGGAAATAATTCAACTTTTGCCAGAGTTTAATCCGTCATCTGAAGAATCGATTAATCCTTCACAATTCGTGCGACGTGTGGAATTATTGAAGACAGCTTATAACTGGGACGACGCATCAGTTATATTTGCAGTGCAACAGAAAATGGCTGGCCCAGCCAAGTATTGGGTTGACTCACTGCAAGAGGTATTTCTGTCTTGGCCTCAGTTTGTTAACAAATTTCTTTTAGATTTCCCTCAAAATGTAAATGCAGCCGATGTACACATTAGAATGGCACAGACAAAACGGCAGTTCGACGAAACGCCGCAGGAATATTATTACAGAATGTATGCTATTGGAAAACGGGGCAATATAAATGAATCATCCATAGCACGGCATATAGTCAACGGAATTAATGATCAAGGATTGAAGCAGAAAATATCTAACGAGTATATTACCTGTAATCAACTTTTGAGTGACATCAACGCATACTGTAGTTATAACGAGGTAAGAAGAGTGCTGAACCCGATATCGAATAAGACGAAACGTAGCAATGAAAATAGAACTGCCCCAGAAAGGAAAAGCGATGAAAGAGTGAATAAATTCAAATGTTTTAATTGTGGTAATACTGGTCACAAAGCCGTAGACTGCCCAGATCCACAGAAGAAGAATAGATGTACGATATGCAAACGGACTTCACACGGTGCAAGTGAATGTCCAACAAAAACCCTGAACACAAATGTCAACAATATAAGGGACAGCGTAAAGTCCAACGAAATACTATGTAAACGTGTCAAAGTAAAGGACAAGGAGTTTGAGGCATTTATTGATTCGGGAAGTGATCGGAGTCTGATCAGACGAAGTTTTGCAATGATAATTGGCGAAACGGAAAATTGCAGTATGGTTTTAAATGGCTTTGCTGGTGGCAAATACGAGTGCACAAAGGTGGTTAAAGTGCCAATTGACATTGATGAGACGAGTTACGACGTGAACCTTTATGTTGTGGAAAATTCTATGATCCCGAATGATGTTCTTTTAGGTCGAGATGTTTTATGCCAAAAAGGTCGACGCACCATTATTGAAGGAGATGAGTGTTGGATGCAAAACGTAAATGCGATTAGTATCAACGAAGGCTTAACATCTGAAGAGCATAAGAAGTTGCAGTTGAACATTCAAGAAAACCGACAATGTTTTTCAGAAAAGTCAAGCGAATTGGGTAAGTGTAACTTAGTGAAGATGGAAATCGAAGTTACTACTCCAGAACCGATACGATGCAAGCCATATCGACTAGCATTTGCCAAACGTCCTATTGTGGCAAATATTGTGAAAGACTTACTGGATAACGAAATCATAAGGAAATCGAATTCTCCGTATGCATCGGGAATTGTTTTGGTCGAGAAGAGAAATGGTGAACACCGTTTATGTATAGATTATAGACAGTTGAATCGAATAACCGTACGTATAGCGCATCCTATGCCTGTACTGGATGAACAGATTGCACAACTCGCCGGAAATCGTTATTTCACCACACTCGACTTACGTATGGGTTACCACCAAATTGAAGTAGAGGAAGAATCGAAAAAGTTCACAGCTTTCGTGACTTCAGATGGTCATTATGAATTCAACCGGATGCCATTTGGTTTGGTAAACGCACCTGCAGTTTTTCAGGCAACGATGAACCGAGTTATAAGCTTTATGAAACCAGGAGAAGTTTTAGCGTATCTGGATGACGTCATAATCCCCAGTAAAACAGTCGATGAAGGTCTGGACCGAATAAAAAGATTTTTGGATATCCTTAAGAAATGTGGTCTCACGTTACGATTGGCGAAATGTTCGTTCCTAGCCGAAAAGATTTCTTATTTGGGACACATAGTTACACGTGACGGAATTTTACCTGGAGAAGAAAAAGTAAAAGCGATTAGAAATTTTAAGGTACCAACGAATGTAACAGAAGTACGACGATTCCTTGGCCTAACTAACTTCTTCCGAAAATTTGTAAAGGATTATGCAGCCATTACGAAACCTCTTGCGATGTTGACACGAAAGAGCGAAGAGAATAAATTTCGTTGGGACGTACACCATGAAAACGCATTCAGAAGTTTAATCCAAATTTTGTGTAGTGAACCAGTTTTAGCAATCTACGATATGAAAGCAGATCACGAGGTGCACACGGACGCTAGCAGTCTCGGATTAGCAGGAGTGTTATTACAGTCCGATGGTAATGGTAATTGGCAACCAGTGTTTTATTTTAGCCGCCACTGTTCTGAAACGGAATCGAAATATCACAGTTACGAGCTGGAAGTTTTAGCTGTGGTTGAAACGGTGCAGCGTTTCCGTATATATTTACTTGGAAAGCCATTCCGAATCGTCACTGATTGTGCCGCAATTACTAATGTGAAGACAACGAAGGAATTACAACCTCGAGTAGCACGATGGCTGATGAAATTACTTGAATTTGATTGTGAGTATGTACACCGACAAGGGTCACGTATGGCTCACGTTGATGCTCTCAGCCGTTCACCGGATCAGCCACAGACGGAGATTGAACCAGCAGGGTTCATAATGAATATTGATAGCGATGATTGGATTCTCACGATGCAGCTAAACGACGACCACATAAAGAATATTATGAGAGTACTGCGAAATGAATTGAAATCTGAGCAAGAGAAACAGATAAAATCTGAATACTTATTGGAAAAACATCGACTATACCGGAAAACGAAAAATGGACTACGATTGGTCATACCGAAGGCTATACGATGGCGCATAGCTAAATACTGTCATGATGATATTGGCCATTACGGGTTGGAGAAAAGCCTCTCACGAGTCGAACAAACGTTTTGGTTCCCCCGCATGAGGAAATATATGAAGGAGTACATTGCAGCGTGTGTAGAGTGTTGCTACAACAAGGCAAAAGGTGGTAAACACGAAGGAGCTCTACATTTTAGTAATGTCGAACCGCTACCATTTAGGCAAGTACATATTGATCACTTGGGACCGTTTATAAGAAGCAAGCATGGTCATACACATATAGTGGCAATCGCCGATTCCTTTACGAAATTTGTGGTTATTAAAGCTGTAAGGAATACGAAGACATTGCCCGTCATCAACGTTTTAAATGAGGTTAGTGGATACTTTGGTTTACCTCGAAGAATAATTTCGGACCGTGGGACAGCTTTTACGTCAAAAATGTTTGAGGAATATTGCGATCGAAACAATATTCAACACATTAAGAATGCCGTTCGTACACCAAGAGCCAATGGACAAGTTGAGAGGGTCAATCAACTTATCCTGTCTTATTTACGAACTACCACTGAAGAACCGAAGGATTGGGACTCGGCACTTCACGTTTTACAATGGTCAATCAATTCAACCAAAAATTCGACAACAGGTTACAGTCCGAATGAGTTGATTTTCGATTACAAGCCCACCGACTTAATACAAAACCGATTGTTAGCAGCTGTACAAGATGATGTACAAAACGAAGAAATTTCCATCAACGAAAAACGTATCATGGCCGCAGAAAACATCAAAAGCGAACGAGAACGATGGAAGAAAAGATTTGACAGCAAGCATTCGAATCCGAAATTGTATGTGGAAGGTGACTTGATCCTTATACAGAATGAACCACCAGCGACAGGTGAATCCCGGAAGTTAGAACCTAAATACAAAGGTCCATACATAATAGCACGAGTATTGGGCAACGACAGGTACCTGATAGAGGACATTCCTGGAATAAACATCACGAATAGGAAATTCTGTTCCGTATTCAGTTCCGACAAGTTGAAGAAATGGTGTGAATGTTCCCCCGAATTGGATGTTTCAAGCGAAGATGAAGCCGAGGACGACTTCAGGTCAGGAAAGGCCGAGTTGTCAAGTTAAAAGTAGTAGTAGATACCTTTTGTTGCATACATGTGAAAATATACGATTACATGCAACCCGGATACAACCCTGAATTTTTAAAATGTAAAAGAGTTGTAGATACGAAGCCAACCTGACAAGGCGTACTAGTTTAAGCTCGTATAATTGATTTTAATAAACGTTTGTGAATTCTTAATTTAATATAAAAACGGTCGTTGTATTTCATTTGAGTATACGGAAACCAACAGACTTCAATCGATCACTTGACAGTTGGAAAACATCAAACACGGTTACATTACGATTCACAGCATCTTTGAAGAAGAACGGCCCAATGATGCCACCAGCCCATAAAAAGGATCAAACTGTGACTTTTTCTGAATGCATTCGCAACTTTTGTAATGCTTCTGACTGATCTTCGTACCCCTATTGAACCAAAATTAAGCTTCGCGGAACACAAGAACACATCATAAAATCCATATTCATCCCAAGTTTCTGCTTAAAAAAAATATTTAGATGATTAGATTTGGGATGTGTGAAATTTAAAGACATTCGGACTCGTAAATCACATTTTATAAGAGTTGTAATTATTCAAAATTTTGTCCATGTGTGGGGGAGGTACTTGATGGATTGGGTCGATATAGTCCATTTTCACACCTGCTCTAGCACTGTCGCAAATATTTGGATTTGCAAAGATGGAGGAAAATCGGATTATCCTTTCTCTTTCTGTACAGAAAATATATTTTTGAAAATTTCGACATTTTGTGGGGGAGGTACCAGAAGGAATGGTCCGATATTACCCATCTCCGAGCTCGATCTAAGTTTGGCAAAAAATATTACGATGTACCAAGTTTAGACCAAATCGGATATTCCCGACTGTTATCGTGCTCACCAGCCACGCCGACAGACATGCGGACGGACATTGCTAGATCGACCCAAAATGTCCTGAAACAGATTTCGTGCGACTAGGCACGTTTTGACCGTATCAAATGATAAATATAGTCTCTAGCCATATGGATGAGGGTATAAAAATAGGCCAAAAAGATAATAGCTTAAAAAATCACCCTTTGTTATATGTGTATGTTAGTTAATCATTAAATTACTTTGGACTATTTTCAAATCAAGCAACAATATATGGTCCAAGATATATTATATACACAATTCCCCTGAAGATTCCCAGTTTTATAAATAGATTTAAAATTCACTCTATAAAGAAACCACAAAAAGAAGATTAGAAACTTAGCCAGTCATTAGAAATTCATTCTTGACTTTTTCTACTCTTTAAGCAATTTACATTTGTAATTGTGACTCGTATTGAAAAATAAATATATTTACTAGGAAATAATTAATATTATGTAACAGCCAATGGCCGTACTATATGGAAAACGAACTCGTCAAAATAGTAGGAATGACAAATTTAAAACGTTTCTAACTTATAATTCTAAAAAAACTTTTTGAAAAACTCTCCGATGTTTCAAAATTTTATCAGAATTGTTTGAGAGACTTGCTGGTTCTCAAAACTACGATTGAAAAACACTACTGTTTAATAAATCAATAGATAGTATGACCCAATAACGTGATACTAGATTAAATGAGTTAATATATATGTAACTGCAAATAATTTTATATTACGACTGTAGGTTGTAAATTATAATCATATTCATAATATTCCAGAGTAGTTTCAATTAGTAGGCAGGCATTGTTTTGCAAATAGGCTAATACTACAACTGTATTGATAAATAATTAAATATGTACTTTAACGCTGTTTTGATACTGGAAACCTATACAAACGATTGATTAATTAAGTAATTCGATTATGTACGATTTTTTTAATGAACACAATATGATGATCATTTACAATTATTTGCTACACATGCATTGCTCCGTTGACAAATTCTTTAATGCAACAGTTTTTCATTCATTATATTTTATCTTTGATACAAAGAATAGCTACTTTGTTTACATCATGCAGTACAGACAAGATGAACAAAATGGTATGAGTTGCATTACAACTTGATGCACCAAGATGAGATAGGGCAGAGAAAACCCGCTTTGTTGTTTACGGTTTAACTTAACTAGACTGTTTTCGCAGCAAACGTTGCTGAATGCGAGCCAGCTGTACTAGCCCTTTTGAACTCTTTTTAGTTTTATTCGTCTCATAGCTTTTATAGCGTGCGGTATGCATATTGGATAAAAGTTTTGAAATCCGGTTGCTGGTCAAATTTTAAAATTCGTTAAGAATAAAAATTTAAATAAATATCACCAATAACTGTCCAGAAAATTTATAATTCATTAAATAAATAAAAAGTGCGAAAAATATTGTGTTCAAATATGTTTGCCAAAATAATTTTAAATATCAGCATTTTGCTAATTGTTTGTGGCCTTAAAGTTCAAGGATTTCAAATGAACAGTAAGTGTGGAGTGTTTGTGATGAATAAGAGATGCAGGATAAATGAAAATTGCAAATACAATGTCAATTCATTTCTTTTGTTCGTCATCTAATTACGAGATGAGATCAGGCATCCATAAATTAGACCGTTTGTGACATAGAGACTTGATTTTCGCTGTCACATTATTTCAATAGCGAAGATGCTGCTTTAAAAATCAATACACAACTATGAGAACAATTTAAACAATTTAAAACATTTTAAGTTGGTGCGAAACGAAAATACCCAAAACGAAATGCCTTTAAAAAATATTTGTTGTCAATGTTTTATATATACGAAGATCTTAGAAAGCCGACCGGTATAGACATCTTTAAGTAGCCCTTAATTAAACTCTAAGTTTTATTTAAGCTAAATCATGCTGACGGTCATTAAAATTTTCTGATGCTTCATTGAAGGTGTTGTTTTCCGAGAATTAAAAAGAACTCATGCTTTGATATTCCAGATTTTGTAATCCAGAAATCAATTCAAATTGAAGTTTTTCTTGGACTAAGAGTATAAAACAAATTATTTTAATTTCTATGAGTCAATTTGACAAAATAAAATGTTAATAAAAACAATTGTTTGAAACCAGTAAAATATTAATAAAATTTAATAATAATAATATTTGGTGAATATAAAATTGTGCGCATTTCGATATTATTCAACAAGAATGCGGAAATGGTATAACCTGAACAAATATGTTGGATAAATGTGAATCCTCTGATATTTAATTATTAATTTCAAATTTTCCTTTGCTGAGTTCAAATCTGTTCAATTTATACTTTAAATTTAAAGAAATCTTCAAAAAAAAAAAAAAACTATTTCATTCAATTCAATTAAATTAACTAATTTTTTTGCCGGGCTTTTTTCCTAGACTGACTTGTTTTCCCAGACTCTTATTTGATACGGTCTAAACGTGCCTAGTCGAAATAACGGTTTTAAACCCTAAGTCTCCTTAGACCAAATCCGTTTCAAGACATTTGGAGTCAATCTAACGATGTCCGTTCATCTGTTTGTCTGGCTGGGAGCATCCGATTTGATCCAAACTTGGTACATCGCAATATTATTATCAAGCTTAGATCGAGTTCAGAGATGGGCAATATCTGACCACTTCTTCTGGTACCTCCCTCCTCAACAAAAGGTCAAAATTTTCAAAAAAATCTGCGCAGAAAGAGAAAGGTCAATCCGATATTGCTCAAACTTTTCAAATCCTAATATTTGCGTCAGTGCTAGTAGGTCTGGTGCGAAAATGGACAACATTCATTCTACTCCATCAAGTACCTCCTATGTGGGGTTCAAAATTTTAAAAATTTTTATCGCTTATAAAATGTGTCCGTAAGAGTCCGATTGTCTTTAAATTTCACACATTCCAATATTTTTATTAACACAAAGTCTGGTGTTAAGATGAAACATATCGGCCCACCCCTTCTGGCACCTCCCCCACAAAGGGTCAACATTTTGAATATCCATGAAACTCATAAAATTCCATTCCATTCAGACTTGGTACATCTCAATATTTCCATCAACACAAAATGGTAAAGATCGGACCATCCCTTCCGGTACCTCCCCTACATACGGTTTAAGTTTTTTAAAAACAAAACGCTCAAAGAGCGCGTAATAAGCATCCAACTCTCTTCAAATTTCAAACACATAAACATTTTTGTGTTAGGATGATATATATATCTGTTCTCAAGATGATATATATCTGCAGACACTTTCTGGTACCTCGCTCACAAAGGGTCGCCTATTTCAATACTTGTGTCTCTTATAACTTGCAAAACACGTCAGCGATTCTATACAACTTGATATATCTAAATATTTCTCTCAACCAGAAACCTGAGATGAATATAGTATTTATAATATACGAAATTGGATGATTTTAACATTTTCTGAAAATCACATACCTCATATAAAGTAAAGGAAATAGTCGCTATATATTCCAAAACTGACACGTCGCAATATTTATATAATATTTATTTAGATCCGATACGAAATGGGTAATATTGGCCGATTCCTTCAGAATTTACTCCATAGAGGGTCAACAATTTGAATAATCATAACAGATGTTCAAAAATATTTTAATAATCGAACTTTGGCTGATTGTATACATTTGTCGGCAAATCCGACTTATACTTTATAACTTGTTTTTTTTTTTTTTAATTTCCCTATTCCTTCAGATTTGCTTATTTTCAAATCAGATACAATTTGACATTGAAAATGTACACCATTACCTTTTTTATCTACGATCATGACAACGAAGCTAATCGGAAGATAAGAAATTGAATTCACTTCAGGCCATCACAAAACGTTAACAATTACCATACGTTGCTGCGAAACTTGTTTTGTAACACAATAAGCGAGAACAAACAAATGTAGGTATTATTCCATTACAACAACAAAAGAAAATACAAAACAAAAGGATGTTCTAGATGGGCACAGCACAAGAACGCATCGACGTTAATAAGCCATCAACCACAAAACAAAAAATGGCAATAAAAAAGAAACAAGTTTCCCTTTCACTTTTCGTTTAGAGCAGCAGAGCCTCAAACGTGCCTAATTAGGTTTCACTGCCACCGGCCAAGGGAATGACGAAAGAACAGCATAGAATTCTCAAGGATAGCGAATGCAATAAATGAATCATAAATTCTTTTATTAAGAATCGTTTTAATAAAAATATTTTTTTTTTTGTTTTTTAATTTCTTTCCACACAGTGACGCAATATTACAAAATGCCACCCTTGTATGACTTCGATAACTATGATCGTTGCCTGCAGGAGTTCAATGATGATCAGTCGATGTATTGTTTTGTGCGTGCAGATGTCTTGCCCGAACCTAAGGCGGAAGCTTGGCAGGTCATTGAAAGTACATCGAAATACTATAAACACCATTTCAATCATGCCCATCTGTATTTTGGCGTATGTGTCGAATGGTGTCGATGGCAAATTGATAAATTGCCAAAAGACGTAGCTGAATCTTTATACATAGGAATATTGAAAAATAATACTAAGGTATGTAAATCTATTTGTGGTTATCAATACCTCATTAGGCAAATAAACAAAAGACTTAAGAAACAAGGGAGAATGAATGCTTTCATGTCATAAGGTGTTGAAATCCTACATAATTTTATGCTATAGATATACAGGGTGAGATGAAAAAACTGCAACCAACTTCAAACTACTGTCGTTACTAAACCACTCGTCTGACAGGTGTTAAAATTATTCCAGTGACAGCTCATTATATTGTTTTCAAGCGTACAAAAGCTTTTTGGTGAGAATTTTCCAGAAGTTATTCGTGATGGAATTCAAGCGTGATAGTGTGATTTCTTTATATTTGGCTGGAAAACCACAAGTGGCTATCGTTAGAAAACTCCAGCATTTAAATGTGAATAAATCTTTTGTGTCTCGTACCATCGCTCGTTACCGTGATACTGGCCGACTCAAGTAAGTGGGCGGAAGAAAACAGCAACATCAGCAGAAATGGCTCAAAGAGAAAAAAAGCGACTTGATTGAAACCCGCGTCGCAGTGGCCGAAAAAAATGGCTCGTGAGCAGAACATATCGCAATATTCGGCAAATATTGAAAAATCAGCTCGGGGTAAAGCCATTGAAATTTCAAAAAGTGCAAGGAGTTACACCGCAACAGAAAGAAAAAATAGGTTAAAAGAGCTAAAGAGTTGCTTCGTTTGAGGTTCCTCGCTTCATTTCCAGCGCACAATGGTCACTAAAATCTCCAGATACCAATCTGTTGGACTATTGTGTCTGAAGTATTTTAGAAAGCAAGGTTGGCACTAAAATATACCAAAGCAAGTGCTTTGCTGGGAATTGACCAAAATACCACAGATCAACATTCGGGCAGCGTGTGATGGTTTCATTGGCCGTTTAAAGGCCATAATTCGTGCCAAAGGTGACTAATTCGAACAAATCTAAACTTATTCTAAAATTTGATGCTATTTCTGACATTTTTTGCTTTCATTCAATAAAATTAAAAAAAAATGTAAAAATTGTGGCATTTGGCTTTGTTGCAGTTTTTTATGCTCTTTTGCAGATCTGCAAGCATGTACAAGTTTTTACTATGATAACCCTATACAATTTTTAATGCCCCAAAATTTAACCCAATTTTACTTCTAATTCCCATATAAATTTTTAAAATATAAACAGGTTAACACATATTTAAAGTTATTTCAATCGGAGGAATCAAATCATCAAGTATGGAATCCACTCATGAATCAATGTGTTAACCTGCGCCTTCTGAAGTATGGACTTATAGCGGAAAGTGTCATCGAATATTGTAACAAAAGCAATGATGTTGTGGAAAATGGTAGATATTGATTAAATTAAACAGAAACTATTTTGTAAATAATGGCAATTACTTGTTTTCAGATTTGTGGAATTTTACATTCTACATTGTTTTGTGCACACTAGCACTGCTAGTTGTTGGCAGTAGTCTCTTCGATTTATATCTCAAAACGCAAAATAATGATAAATTGCTAACGGATCGGGATCATTACAAGGCACCACCAGCCGAAATTGGTAAGACAACGAATGTGTGTCTTAAAAATATGCAATAATCTAAATACATGTGTTTTTGTTGAAATAGTCTCGAAAATAGGTGTAGCTTTCTCAATTGCCCGCAACTGGTATCGCTTGAATCAAGAACCTTCTGGCAAAGTAGGCAGAGAGTTGCGATTCTTGGACTGTTTTAAATTTTTTGCCATGTTTTTGGTTATATTCGCACACACTAACTGGGTGCTTTACGAAGGAGCCATTGGTAATCCCCAAGATCCAGAACGTCTTTTGCATACCACTGCTGGAACACTATTGATGGCCGGGTCACTGATAACAGTTACCTTCTTTGTAATTGGTGGATTTTTGTTAATGCTAAATTGGCTAGTATTTGCCAAGGCAAATAATGAAGTGACCACAAGGGAATATTTGCTAACTTTTTTAAAATTCAATGTATTTCGATACTTAAGGTAAATGTGAATCTAGTTATTTGAAAACCGTTTTAAGTCTTTTTCCTTTATGCAGATTGACAATACCGTATGCCTTTGTTGTCTTATGGAGTGGTGTGTATTTTGAAAATGTTGGTGGACCCATGTTTCATCATATATATGGACGTGAACAACAGTCATGTCGCAAAAACTGGTGGATAAATTTGTTATATCTCAACAATTATATCAATGTCAACGAAAGGGTATGCCGAAGTAATTTCTAGCAGATCTTTAAATCTAATAAAAATTTTCCTTATTTATTTCAAGTGTATGCTACAAGCTTGGTATTTGGCCTCGGATGCCCAGTGTTTTGTGGTTAGTTTGGTAATTCTAATATTGGCCCATAGGTAGGTTAATGATTTTGTTTTATATCCCTAAATACACATATTTTACTTCGACACCAGGTTTTCAAAGCAACGCAAATGGATATTTGGAACTACAATAGCATTCTTTGTGCTTTTACCGGGCACATTAACTTATATAAACAATTACCAAGCCATGTTGGTAGCATCGCCACAGTAAGACAACTAATTGAACGTTGTAATTTTTTTTTCATTAATTTGTTTTTACATTTTTAGAGTTCAACGTGATTCTTTTATAGAAAGTCGCCAATTTAATGACTCATATGTACCATTTCACATGAACTTTGCTTGTTATTTCTTTGGCGTAATGTCGGCATTGCTTTACGATTATGTATCTTCAAAATCTATTTGCATTGCGAAAAACACTTGGGTTCACATAGCCTTCTATGCTCTGATACCCATTGGTGTTTTATGGCTTTTCTCTGGACACACATTTGCCCAGGAGTATTTTGATGAGGAGGGAAGACATTTTTGGGCCAGTGTGTATGCTACTGTTCAAAGAAGTGCCTGGGGTTTTGGTTTAGGTGCATTTATTGTGGGAATGGCAGCAAAATGTGGATGTAAGTATAACAATAACGTGGTGTCAAGAACTGAATGTCATGTGGAGTATTGAGGGTCAATTGTGTTAATTTTTCGATCGACTAAGAATAAATCAATACACTATACCAGGTCCGGAATCTATGTATACAACCGGAATCAAAAAATACTTCGGCTACAATATACATAAAAAAATGCATAATTTTATATCGACGTATGTTGCTTGAAATGTATGGGAGAAAAAAGAAACATGCATTAATTCCTTCTTTAACAGGCGCGTTGAATGCCAAAGCAGTATTGTTCGAACCTCCAACGACGATCGAAATAATAATTTCATTTTACCTTTTCAGGGGTGCTTAGAAAATTCTGTTGCCTACCAATATTTCGCATCCTAGGACGACTTACATATGGCGCTTTTATGGTACATCTTTTAATATGCAGAGTGGTGGTCGCTACCTTAAGAGAACCCATCTACTTTGGAACTGGGATGATGGTAAGCAACATATGCTCTATTCCAGAACTGCAAGAATATGAAAGTTTTTACTACGATAACCGATTTTCACTTTATGATATCAAAACATAATTCCAAAAATAGTAGATTCTTGCAGATTCTGGAACATAGCAACTAATTCATACAAAAATTGCTAAAATAATGACAACTCTTTTTTGCAGTTTGCTTTTATTGTATTTACCATGTCGGCATCGTATGTCGTATCATTTATACTGGCAATTTTACTTGAATTGCCTGTATCTTCAATATTGAAATTATTACGGTGATTTATTGGACAAATTTGACTGATCCTTGTGCTTATAGAATTGAGAATAAAATTTATTTAAATAAGGAAATTGAAAATGGAACCTCACTTACCCTGTAGAAACGGAAAACTGAGAACCCTCAGACTGCTCCCGTAATTCCATGTAGAATTTCTTTAACTCTTCACTGGCACTGTCCACAAAGAGAGGTTTGACCTGTTGGCGGGAATAAACTAAAAATACATTTTTTATATAAAATATTATTTATTTAAGTTTATAATAAAATACCTACCAATGAACTTCTTCATTAGTGTAATTGGCAGTAAATTCATATCCACTTCTTCCTCTGGTTTCAATTTTAATTTGTTAGACAAATCATATTCGTCCTCATTGCCATCTCCATCAATGGTCATATTCATAGAGCTGTTTGATTTAAGTTCGAATCTATTGGCAATTGCTGTATTCTTTTTCGAACCAGCATGTACAGCTTTAATGTGCTCCGACAGGGACGTGTCCATATCCTTGTTGGGTTTATCCAACAACACGAAAACTAAATGAAATTCACTTAGCAAATGTTGTGCAATGCGTATATTTTCCGTCAATGTCTTGGACTGGTCATAATGACCACGCATAGAATTTGCCGAGGCAATGACAGACGTGGGAGTAAAAAATGTAGAAAATAACGCGGGAAATGTCAAGCTTGTCGTCTGTGCTTGAAGGATATTCATAAACGACTCCATTTGAGGAGTTAGCCGATCAATATCATCAACGGAGCAGTGGCCATTTCTAGCAGCCAAAAGTTCTCCACATTCCATGATATAGTTGGTACGTCCCTTAACGTTAACGGTAAGTTTTTTAGTATTGGCAAATGGTCCACGTTTCGCCTGAACGATGGATCCTGGAAGAATTGAAGCGAATCACCCAAACAAATATTCGTAATAAATTATAAGTACCCTACCTTTTTGTGATATTTTGGAACACATATCAACAATATTTGATTTACCAACCCCAGGATCTCCAACTAGCAAGACATTGATTTCCTCTTCATCATGTTCCTGAGAACCCGATCCTCCAAAAAGGGACAAAAGAACTCCAGCCTTTGCCATTTCATGTCCATGTACTTCCGGTGCCAAAGAATGTACTAAGATCTTAAAAGTATCCGTTTCGCTATTGATCGTCGTAATTGCTTCAATGTCTTCTTCTAAGAATTTATATTTAACAGTTTTGCCATCGACTATTGTAGTAGCTTTCATATACACCTCCATTTGATTACCAAAGGCAGAATACTTATCAAACGCATTTTGTTCCTGTAAGGGGCGTACCCGCAGTATACCAGTTACCACAATTTCTTGGCCCAAATAAATGGTGTCGACTAAGTCATGTCGTAGTTCAATGCTCAGACAAGGTTTAGTTTGAATATCAGTTGTTGAACCTATATCTAAGCCTGACTCTGTAAGGCGAATCATTTGTCGTGGGGTAATACGCGTAAACGGTGATGATCTTACTTCGATAAACCCAGCTTTGGCCAGACAGCCTTCTCTTTTACAGGAATAGGGACGAGTGATATAGGGACCTTAAAGTGAAAACAAATTATTTAGGTATAAATTGTGACTTAACCCGTCCTACTTACCACTTTGCTTTATAGCCTGTTCTTGTTTGCACCGACCACATCTATATGCTAACCATGTAACGGAGGCATCTACTGGTCCTATTGATGTCACAATACCTCTTACACAATACAGCTGATCTATTTCTAATTTTCCTACCACATTCATTGGCCGCTCTTCCATAAAACCCATGGGACGGGCATAAACCTTGCGAGGTTTTATAACTTTGGGAACATAATATTTCTTTGTACATTCCTGTTGACTGAGAGAAGCCTCCAATGCTGCCAATGTAGCTGAAGAATGCATTGCCAGTGCCAACGTTGCTAAGGTTCTCCTTGGCCGATACATCATATCTTCCATGAGGGTAGGCCACTGACGACGCAATTCCTCGTCTTGTAGTAAAACATTGGCAGTGACCATAAAATAGCCCTGTTGTTGTATGGCTAGAAGGTCATAAGTGGCTCCATTAAAATGCGTTTCTAGGATTCTAAGACGCCCAGCCAATTCACTGTTATCATCGTACGACTCTCCATAGAAGTATAAACGCCATCCGGCACATGCCGCCGGCGTGTCAATAGCCATGGAGGTGACATTTTGTTCGGAATCTTCTGGAGCAGCATAGAAATGAGGTCGTAGGAAGCTACTGCTGATTGGATTTTGTGTATTGAGTGCTGGAGCTGGAATAGGGGCACCGCGACCTCTACCACGTCCGCGACTAACTCCGGTAGTCCCTCGTCCACAAGCTGGTATAGTGCGTCCATTCCTTTTGAAAAAGAAGTAAGGCCTATATCCGCCGCCAGCACCTCGATATCCTCTGCCACGACCACCAAAACGAGGAGCTCCACCAGAACCAGCTGGGGCATTCATTCTATAAGTATTGAAAATAAATAAGATTAATCAAAACTGCCGCCAATCAAACGGAGGAAGGAACACAAAGAGCTTTCGACCGAAACCAACGAAAGCTCTTTAATTGCTTTCTGTGCGAATGAAGGAGGAGACAACACCAAAAGTTTACGAATCGGTGTGATGCATAATGACCGAAAGTTTGCATTGTTTTTGTTTACGAATAAAGGAATAGGGAAAGAGACAATTAATCTGTTGAATAGGTGGGCAAATATCGATATACTCTGCGATATATATCGATAAGCAATCTGCTGATGTTTTGAATATATATGTGCTCTGTTCCAGAACCTGCAAGAATATACTAGATTTCCAATTTTAAAAATGAAAGAAAACCGGTTAAAAACTTCTAAATTCATGTAGTTTTGGAACAGAGAAGTGATTTTTGTATTTTTTGAGCAAAGATTTACCTAAACCAGAGAAACAAAACAATTACTTTGTTCCAGAAACTACAGGAATCTACTAGTTCTGGGAAATTCAAAGAATCGATTAAATATTGGAAAATCCTATATTTCTCAGTTCCGGTAACTGCAAGAATTTAGTAATTTTGCAATTTTCTTCGATATCTTAAAGGAAAAATCTGTTATCGTAGTGAAAACTTTTACATTCTTGCTGTTCTGGAAAAGAACAATAAATATCATTCGGTGCTTTCTTCCAGAACCTGGAAGAATCTGCAAGATATCATGAAGGAAGACTCGGCTATCATTCTTGCAGTTCTACAACAGAGCAATAATCTGTTATTTTGCTTGGCCTAATGGCCTATGGATCTATGGATTCAAGAATGCTCAGAATTTTGTATCAAATCATGAAATATATTATTAAAAATTACGAATTGAGTTTTTTGAAATGAGATAATTAGTCTATTTAAAAAAGGTAATAAAAACATCGATAACACTGGGATGAAGGAAATGAGTTTGGTTACAGCTACCGCATAACAGATGGCACTATTGAATATATAAATTTGCCTGAAAGTATGCTTTGTATAATTTCAATTTTAATAATAAATTAAACAGATTATCGATGTTTTTTTGACTATTTGTATTTCTTTTGCCAAGAACAATCCTTTACTTTCGATTTGCTGATTAAAACCATTCAAAAAACAAATACACAGCAACTTAGTTCATTGCTTTCATGCATTATAAATATGGAATTCAAAAAGCTGAAATAGGAACGGAGAAATAAGACCTCTTGCAAGTACCACCCATGGTACAATAAAATCTAGGTAGGGCTATGATACCATATAATATTAATTCTTTTATTTTCTTGTCTTAATATGTCAACTTTATTTGTTTATGTGTGTGTATTTTTTCAGTAATAAAAAAATTGTTCAGAAAATATTCAAATTCGGGCATTGCTCATTGCAACGCATACATCGACAAAATCAACAGTTTTTATAGCGAAATAAACTTTAGAGAGGCCTAGAACATGTTTTTGAAAAGAAATTTTGACCTTTGATTCAGTTTTCGCGGTATTCAATTATTATTATTCAAAATCAATGCAACAAGTTGTTTGGTTTTTTGATTGCTTTGATTGTAATTCTGACATTAAAAGCCAAAGAGATAGACCTCTATACTTGCAATTTTTTTTCGAAGTTAGCCTACCTTGTCTTTATTGTTCCATGGTTCTATTATTATTCATTTAAAATGTTAAGCAAATAAATATTAATTTACAAATTAAAAATGTTCCAAAAATACATGTTTCAAATCAGGAAAAGAAATGTGAAATAATTGAGAACTTTTTACAGTTTATGTAGGTAATTGTGATTTTATTTTTAAAATATTTTCAGTGACTCAAAATAACAACATGCCTTGTCTGTATGATATTGATGACTGCGAACGCTGCCTACAAGAATTTAAAGATGAGTCGCTGTATTGTTTCGTACGTGCGGATGTTGGAGCCCAACCTAGTGGTGAAGCTTGACAAGTTATAAGAAATATATCACAGTACGTGAAGCATAATTTTGTTCACGGCCACTTATATCTGTATGGAATGGTGTCAATCACCAATCGATGCCTTGCCTAAATATGGAGGCGGTGATATGTTTAAAGGAATTTGAAAGAAAAACAATTGTAAGCACGATACTTTCATAACGGAAATAAGTTTTTTGAAATAACGAAACGAAAAAGTTATATCAAAAAATGCAATGGTTACGAATGGTTAAGTTTAGCCGAGTCGAACTTTTAATAACCTCTAGAACTAAGACGTTAAACATTTCCGAAATATCACGTGAAGAAAAAATACTAGCCATTATGTCGATCCCTTCATAAGGTAGAGTGATTTTTTCAGACGGCGAATAGACAGACGGACATTTAAAAAAAATAGAATTTTACGCTGATCGAGGTTTTATATATATTATGTTTAGATGTAGGGTATGTCTCATATGTCAACTCTTTACTTCATATGTCTTAAATATGGTACATCGTAAATATGTTATTCAAGGAACTATTTTTACACCACTCCACCACAGGTAGACAGGGCATTATGTCTTTGTGCGTTTGTTTGTAACCGGCAAAAGGAAACGAGGTAGCCATAGTTCCTTATTATGATCTGCATAGAATCAGTCGATATGATCTGCATTCTGAGTCGATTTATGCATGTCCGTCTGTCTATGTACTTTTGTAAACAAAGTACAGATCACATTTATTGCCCGATCCAAATGAAATTTTGCACAAGTCATTTGTTTGACCCAAGGACGAACCCTATTGAATCTATACCAAATAGTATGGACTTTTTCATATACGACTAAGTTAAGCCTGGAAATAAGTATGCCAAATTTGATCGAAATCGCTTCAGATATAGCTATAGCTCCCATATATATTGTTCATCCGATATGATATTTTTGTCCTCCGCAGCCATAACATGCACTCTGTAACAGCGATATTTGGGGAAATATATCAAATACAGCACAGAAGTACCTTTCTCAAATTTTATCAAGGTCGGTTCAGATTTGGATATAGCTCCAATATATATCGTTCATTTTTTGTAATATTTTTTATTTGTTATATACAGCTCTACTAAAAAAGGATATCATGAAACGGCCCGCCCGTCTTTTAGACTTTCTTTACTGTCTTATTTTCAACCTATGACTAAGTAGTTTATGTACATTATTTCGTAATGAGTAATTCAGCTCTTATGAATTTTTTGATTGGCTATCACCTCAGACTTTTCAACCACTTTTGCGGACTTCATCGACAAGAAAAATATATGCATCTGTTTATTAAAGGACGCACATACATATGCATTGCTATTTGTCATAAATTAAATGTTGAATTTTTACAGAATTTTTTTGTTTTTGGCGTATTTCCATTCTACCTTTATCTTGGATATTGGAAGTTGTAAGTCCTTTTTTGTCTAATATTTCTTTCCGAACGCTAATTTGTTTCTGGCTTCCATCATGACACAAATAAGACAAGGCGCTCTCTTGCCTTTGACACAAATAAAGGGAACTTTTAACATTAACCTTTGGCTGGGCGACCTTCAGAGAAGACAATCTCTGAAAAAATTGGATGCCTTTAAGTGAAATACTCAATTACGGCACTTTAAAAAGAAAGCAAATGCTTGGAGAACACGACATCTAGTGTCGCTGAGCATGTATGGGATATTCCATGCATCTGTTGAAAAATGTTTGTAGTAGTGGACTAATTTTAAGAACTTATGTTACATTTTTGATGTCGGTATATGAATCTCATTTGTACGATATTTTTTATATGTTATAGAAAATTACTGTTTAAGTCTATCTCCTCTAACTCTTGCTCTGTTCCAGAACTGCAAGAATGTCATTTATTTTACAACGATAACAGATTTTATCCTTTATGATATCGAAATATATTGCAGAACAGAGCAAATTTTAAAATATCGAAACGGGAAAGTATCGATTATCTGTAAGTATTCACAAGCTTCCTTTCAACTTATTATATTTTCTTTCGAACTTTAAAGCTAGGATTCATTCTGATTTGAAATGTTTAAACAAAACTCAGAATAACCGCGAATTTACAAAACATTGCAAATAAATTGTCTCATATATACATACATACGCATGTGTATGTACGTAGTATTTACTAGCCTACATAGCCAATGGTGTTGATGTACAAAGTATGGCAGTGCTAATGTGCTGCCTATCCACATGCAAGGATATCAACGCAAGGCCATAGATGTGATGTGAACTTTTAAAGGCTCTACATTTTTCTAGTGAATCATTTTTTTATATTTCCTTTACAAAGCCTGTGGCAGCAGGACTGGGTGTGTTGTATTCCACGTACATAGGTACATACATACATGTTGGTATGTAAGTACGAAAAGCATAAAAGTGCACTTTATGAATGTGTGTCTGTGTTTTCGCAACATTATATCTGGGCTACAAAGTATTTAAAGAGTAAAAACAGCGACAAGCTGTCATAAGGCAACCGTTTGCGAAAGAGGGGGAGGGCAAAACCATTAAAAATGAAATAGCCGCGAAATAACGTAAGAAACTAGAAAGCATTTCAAGATGTGAGATATGTTTTAGAATAAATATCAAGATTAATTTCGATTTCAAGGAAGGGAAACTAAAAATATTATCGCGACAAGGAAACTGACAAATATTTGTGAAAGATGGTTGCACTCTTCAAGTTTTAAGAATAGATTCCAAATAAATGACATAGATTTTAATGTGGTTCTATTTAGGTTTGTGGTTAAGATGTTGAATGAAATTCTATTAAAATATTGTTTTTTTTTTTAAATTTCATAAATGAACCATATTTGATGTGGCCTTAACTGTGAAGCCATTTTTTTAATCGTGCATGAGGTTTACAAAAAATTAGAGACAATTATACTTTGTAATAAAATGACATGATTAGCTAGCATGCAAAAAGGGCTAAGTTGAGTAATTTGTAAAATAATATATTTTATGCGAAAGAAATCTATAAATATTTGAAATTATCATTTGTTGTTGCGATCATGAACATTTGTGAAAGTGGTTTACCTCCCTCCCTTCCCTCTTTACATTTGCCATCAAGATTTATTCTTTTCAGTATGGAAAAAATTTTGACGACTTCGGTTTTTGAAGAAAATCCAACCCATTGTGACAAAAACGTTAGACTTCCAGTTAACAATTTTTTTTCGTAGGTCTCCGATTTTAAATTTTTTCCAAGATTTTAATTA